TCGGGCCCAACGGCTGCTGTAGCAGAATTTCAATGAAATTGCCCGTGCTCCGCACGGGCCTATCACCTCAACGATAATATCACCTCAATGATAACGATATATTTTAATTACAAATTTAAGTCAAATAGATACAAAAATATAATCTTTACAATTTTAGAAATTCAGGATGCATTATCTAAGTATCCCCTATTCAGATATTATCGAATTTGGACTATTACAGTAGCTGCTATCGTCGCTGTCGTCGCTATTGCTTATATCAAGTTTACTATCCACTATAGCTTTGTAAGCCTTTTCGATAGTAGTATCGACATTAATACACGATTCTGTAGAAGTAGACTCTGCGCAGTCTTCTTGAGTATACTGAGTAAAGCGTTCTAGGTCCTGTGATAGCGTGGTGGATGGTAAAGCTGCCGTGAGAGGATGGCTTATGAGTTTGGTATATGGATCGATAAGTTGACGAATATTGTACGCCACCCACATAGCTGGCGTACGGTCTATTGTTATAGTACCTTCGCGATACTTAGAACTGCTATCTTGAAGTATCCAGTCCCACTTTATCAAGGCCTTGGTGTTGTAGTTATTGTCGTCAGCGTTTATATGTTGCCAGCGCGCAACATTGCGCTGCGTTGTAATACCGCCTGCTATACGCTTAGTATATTTACGGCCAAAGTTCCTTATAGTTGGGAAGATACGCCGCCATTTGTTGAAAATAATCGTAGCCTCACGGAGTCGTTTTGTAGCGATCTCTACCTCAAGACGAGCAAGGTCATTGACCTGGCGCTGCTGCACCATCTGCCGTGCGTCTTCAGCGTATATTACACCACCTTTGCTCTCTACAACCCGCTTCTTGCGTCGCCTCCGCTCCTCCTTGGCAAGTATAGCAGCCTCAGTTTTGTGCAGCTCACGCTTGAAGCCTTCGGCGTTGCGAGCAAGAGCTGAGACGCCACGAAGGTGACGGATTACGTCGGCCGCGACCTGACGGGGGAGGTGTTGATGAATCACGGCGCGAACAAACGGCTCCTGTAGCTCGATCTGTCGTACTGTTTTTGGTGTATGCCAAGTAGCGTCGCCAGGCTTAGGATCCTCGGGTTCTGGTGTTACACCTTGTGGTTGAGGCCGCCGCACCAGCTGTGCCGTCTCGAGGTCGATTTTAACGCGGTGGAAGCGTCGCACAGGCGCTCGAGATGGCGATGAGATGAG